CTTGTTCTTTCCTATCAAACATCTATCGTCCTCATCTCCCCTTTTTCTTTTTTATGTTTGTTACTCTCTTGTAACACCTCTAATCTTCTGGCGCTTATATGACCGTATGCAGTTGCGAGCGCTGTAAAACCTCTACTAAAACTAAACTAAACCTTTTTCCAAGTCTTTTAACCCACATGCAAGGACTTTGGAATAATAGCCTCCAATTGCGCGTATGTCATCATGGATACATTGCGGTGGCCCAGACGAACGGAACTAAAAGTCTTGTCTGCCCAATCTGGCCCGCGTGCCATGGTTTTGAGACCTGGGCCGTAGTTCGATGACCCCTGAGTTTTAAAGTGCAAACATTACGTATACGTATACCCAGTCTTCTAAGTTGTTGTTTCTTTAAGGTGTTCCATTTCTGATTTCGGCCCTCTTGACTTTGCTTTTTTTGTGTTTGCCCAGACGGAGTTTCCACAAGGACGTCGTCGCTTGTCTGGCGTCTAAAGGGAGCCGTTGTTGCTGCTGACTTATCTTAACCTCGAATGTGGGAGGTTGGCGGGTGCTTTGGTGTGGTTTGCTTTTTCTTTTCTATCAAACATCTATCTTCCTTATCTCCCCTCCTTCTTTTTGTGTTTGTAATACCCCTAATCTTCGTCACATACATGACCTTATTGTGTTGCAAGTGTCGTAAAACACTTACTAAAACTAAACTAACCTCGAATTGTAAGTTCCAAAACAAGAAAAAACCCAGCAAAAAACAAAAACAAACCAAAAAACAAACGAAAACCAAAAAAAAACCGGGGAAAGAGCAAAAATCCTACAAATCAGTTCAAGGGAGGAGAGTGAGTGTTGAGCAACAGCTTCCTCGACCTCGGTACCACCAATCTATGTATGAAGTGTTTTATTGTTGTAACTAAACGTTTTGTCATTTCTGAAAAAATTGTGAATTTTCTGTCCCTGCAGGTACAATTTAGATGATAAAGGAGGCGGGCTGCTTCTACCCGCCCTGTCTAGTCCATGCGCCCCTGCAGAAAGATAGAAACATTATAATAGTGTGTGGCGTCGATGGCCTAGTGGTTAGGCTACCGGACTCTCAATCGTGAGGTTGTGGCGTCGGTGGCCTAGTGGTTAGGCTACCGGACTCGTAATCGTGAGGTTGCCGGTTCGGGGGTTTGAGCCTCGGGCACGACGTTGTGTCCTTGGGAAAAGCACTTTTTAGTTAGTTTTAGTAGAGGTTTTACGGCTCTCGCAATTGCATAAGGTCATCTGAGCGCCTAAAGGCACTTTGCTCGAATTTTCCTCACTTCACCCAGGTGGGAATGGTTACCCGGATATAGACAGCGAAACATCTAGTCAGTATATTAGTGTTATAGCGATTATAAATGAATGCTTGCACAGTATGGTTCACAAGAAGTTGAGATTGTTTCAGAATGCTCTCAGGTCTGCTGGGGTAATAGTATAGATTGTGAAGCGCATAGAGCTTGCTGTTGAGCGCGGATTTGCGCTATACAAATGCTATTTATTACCATTATTATTACTATTATTATTATTATTATTATTATTATTATTATTAGACCTTCCTCTCTGGAGGATGAGTTTCATGTGTTTCTCAAACAAGGCAAAAACTGAATCATGAGAACCGACATAAAATTTGAATGTGCGATCTGCTCTCTTTAACTAGGGCTTGTTTTTAATATCGTGATAATAAGACAGGCACTTTACACAAATTCTAGTCTCATTTAATCTACGCTGGAACGGGTATCTGACATACGCCGCGAAAGATCACGTCGGTGTGCAAGCGGGGGCTCTCGTGGCCTAGAGGTTTAGGTGTTGGCTTCTCTTTCAAAGGTCCCGGGGTCGAATCTGGGTAGCGACCGAAAAATTTTCTTCTCTAATATTAATGTCTCCTTTCACCTCCTTTCCTGCTCTCTATCAATGTTCTGTCGTCAGCTTTCGTCTCCTTTTTCTGCCCCCATCCCCACACCTCCTTTGCCCCCTCCTTTGGGCTTCTGATTCTTTCTGCAGCCTGTCTACTGCTACTCCTTGGCTCCTTCTAACTGCTGTCTTTCAGCCCCACCTCTGATCTTCTGATAGGAAAGATCTACACCTAGCCTTCTCGGACAAGGGCGAAAAATCTCGGAGGACCCGAGTGCAGTTGCGCATGTTAAAGATCCCTTGGTGGTCTAAAATCAATAAGAGTAGGCTTCGGCCGCCACCGGGGCAAAATTCAAAATTTCCTCCCAACTGAAGAGGTGTAAGGTTTCCCACGCACTCATATGACCGTATGCAGTTTCGAGCGCCGTAAAACACTTACCAAAAAACAAAAAAGTGAAACAGTTATTTGCTTTTTATAGCGATTTTAAGGCGGGGAACTCAATGAAATGTATACAGAAATGAAGACTATGATACGCACTTTCGATTGGTGAAAAACAATTTTCGTGCCAAAATCATGAACTTTTACAGGGGAACTTATCAGTCTTACAGGAACCAAAGTTCAGCCCAACAGAAGAGCTCTACATTGCTATAGCTGTACGACCAAGGCAATAGGCAGGGACAGCGCAGGGAAAGTCAGGCTGTATGTTAGCCCCGAAATGTGGGTTAGCCCGCTTGTCCGTAAAAGCGACCTTATATCACGTATCTCCGTTTGTCATTGTGTGTTTAAGTGGGTCAGCAGCCTGCTTTTGTACTTTCTTGGGTTTCGTGGAAAAAGTTCTTGAACTTATCAGTCTTACAGGAACCAAAGTTCAGCCCAACAGAAGAGCTCTACATTGTTATAGCTGTACGACCAAGGCAATAGGCAGGGACAGCGCAGGGAAAGTCAAGCAAACAGCTTCCTGATTTATTCTGTACTGCTTGACCCAGGCCACAACGTCTAGGATCACCTTAAGGGTCACATCTTCGCAGTATCTATCCAGAGACGTCTCCGACGGAGATAAACCAATGAAAATGCTTTGTGCCTCTAGACCAAGTAAAAAAATCTGGGGGGTTACAGGGGGGGGGGGGCATTTTAACCCATAATTTGATATTTTACTGCTAGGTTTGAAATTGTCTTGCAAATAACTGATTTGCAACAGTTTTAGTAGCTATATGTGTGATCTGCAGCAGACAATACACATTTTGACCCCCCAAAAAAAACAAAAAAACAACAACAACAAAACCAACAACACCCAGTCCATCTGTGTGCTGGAGAGCGTATCCGAATAATTCCTGGGTGCTCGCCGGAGACGTCTCCGAATATCTTCTGCCTCAAATCTTGGTTGCTACATGGACAGGAAAGAGCGGGCGGTGATCGCCGTGATACACAAAGGCATTGGTTCTTGTTTATTAGGTTTTGTTTGTTTTTGTTTTTGTTTTTCTTTTGGGTTGTTTTTTTTTTGGAGTGTTGTTGGGTTTTTTTTGTTGCTTTTAGGTTGTTGTTTTTTTTGGGGGGGGGGATTACTTTACTTTTACTGTAGCAGATGTACAGGTTCCAAAATGATTTCAGGAAAAGTCTAAATATGTCACATCGCAGTGAAATGAGGTACTGACTCGTCCGTTTTGGGGGCTTAAGGGGTTGGTGGTATCATTTAAAAGCCCGTTTGTTTGCCTTGCTTTTGATAAAAACCCCTCCACCAAAAGAAAAAGACAACCCCCCCCCAAAAAAAAAACAAGAACCAATCTATCCTGAATACAAGTTGTGAAGTTACGATTGAAGGAGGTTGTGTCGCGCAGTATCGGAGGGAAATTTAACGAGAAAATGGCCTCCCAAATTTGATGGCTTCCAATGTAGTATTGTCCAGGGAAACTGCAAACTTACATTGTGTGTGCTTTTGGTCTTTGAGTTTTGTGTGTGTGTGTGTGTGTGTGTGTGTGTGCGTGCGTGCGTGTGTGTATGTGTGTGTGTGCGTGTGTGTGTGTGTGTGTGTGTGTGTGAGTATGTGTGTGTGCGTGCATGTGTTTGTGTGCGTGCGTGTGTGTGTGTATGTGTGTGTATGTGTGTGTATGTGTGTGTATGTGTGTGTATGTATGTGTATGTGTGTGTATGTATGTGTATGTGTGTATGTGTGTATGTGTGTATGTGTGTATGTGTGTGTGCGCGCGCGCGCGTGCGCGCGTGTGTGTGCGTGTGTGTGTGCACGTGCGTGTGTGTTTGTGTGTCTGTGCGTGCGTGTGTGTGTGTGTGTTTGTGTGTGTGTGTGTGTGTGTATGTGTGTACATGCATGTGTATGTGTGTGTGTGTTAGGTTTTTTTTTGGTGGTAAGATCCACTCTGGGGTGTATTTTTTAATGACAATAAAAGGTGTTTAGCCCCCCCCCCCCCAAAACCCCCCAAAAAAAGAAAAAGAAGAAAATAAAAATCGATGACAATTGCCCAACTAGCAGAAAAATGTCTGTTTCTTCGATATCAATATTTCGACAAACGCCTGATTTCATCACGTTGCCTCAGAAATGTCGAATTCCTCACTTGCTGTTTTTACACCCCTGACGACTAATATAACCACTAGTCACAAGAACGGTAATAATGATGATAGATCCTGCTTGTTAATTATGTTAGCCCGCTCCACTCTGTCAGTGATGAGGTGTCAGTGGACGCAAGGCTCAAAGGTTCACAGCAGGCTCATTGCTTTGTCCATCCTCTCAATCTCCTTCTGATTTATATCTACCTTGCATCTATAGCACCCCTTCCTTCCTCCCCTGCCCACCTTTTATGCAACCATAGATTATGTATGAGTGGGTGGTTGGAGGGTGCTCTGGGGTGATTTGCTCTTTCTTTCCTATCAAACATCTATCGTCCTTATCTCCCTTCTTCTTTTTTTTTTTTTTTTTGTTACTCTCTTGTAACACCTCTAATCTTCTGGCGCTCATATGACCTTATGCAGTTGCGAGCGCCGTAAAGCCTCTACTAAAACTAAAACACCTAGCATCTCTAGCACCCCTTCCCCACCTTTTACACAACCATAGATTATAATTTTTGTGATCTACTTTTCATTGCCTCGGACAAACAAAACATAATACGAGAGACACAAACGACAAGAGTTGGTAACGATTGTGTCAGCTTTTATTCAAGAAGTACGGGCTGTCAAACCGAGAGTTCTGGATTGTCTTCCTCCTGAGGTAATGGCGAGTCTGAAAGGAATAGAGGAACTTGTCAATAATAATGTAATAGTTATGTTCTCGTTTGTTGCGTTCATTGGTGAGTGCAGAATATGACTTTTATAACACTGTTTTAAGTGTATGCGATTAAGGCAAATCAATAAAATAATAGTAATGATAACTATAATAATGATGAATGTTTAATCGCTGAATACTTATCAGCTTGTTGGAGATACGATCCAGATAAAGAAACATTTCACTCTTCAACACCTAATCAGCATAGACAGAATTATATCACGTTATAAAAAGAAGACAGTTCACAGTTATAATATGATAGTATGATATAGGGGAAGCACTAAATAAAATTATGTAATTTATTCTTTTCATATTCAGCCCATTTTCTTTATACATGTATTTGGTAAAAGTGGTATTAGTATGTGCATTTCCCTGTCCCTCACGTTGTAAAACCATATTAGAGTTCAACATATCGGTTCTACATGTGGCTCCCCTTTCGCGTTATGCATCAATGTTGCCACTCGCCCAAATGGCCAGTGCTGTAAACGTAACATATTTATGTGTAGAATTAAAGAATCTTGGGTCATTTATTATTTGCACGCTTGCCATTTTCTTACCATCAATGTTTTTCGCTATTGCTCTTAACAATTGTTTTATTTTAATGAAGTTTGACATAAATACCACAGGGCGACACTGCAATGCAATAGTAGTTAGTAGTAGGCAGAACTTTGAACGGGTCGGGTCCATTAGGGTGAAGAACCACGGTTTACACTTTCAGTTGTTTCTCACACTTGTTGTAAAGGAAGGTTTAATGTCCCCATAAGATATTTGGTCGCTTTTAAGAACAAGGGGGGCTGTTCCGAAAAATGCTGTTTTGAGAATATCGAAGGTACAGTTTTTGCCCCGTGTTCAGTTTCTTTAAAAGACAAGGAGAGTTTTCTCTATAATCAAACAAATATACACACTAATGAAACCAAACTTTTCCTATAGGTAGAGCAATACCCACTTTTGGAGTAGGTCAAGATTTCCGGAACCCCCCGAAATCTGGGTTAGCCCGCTTGTCCTTAAAAGGGACCAATTATGAAGAACAGGTAAAGCAGGACACGTGAACACCAAGTCGGTCAGACTGGTGACGTGAGAGTAGTAGAAACGTGTGGACCTTGGTGACAGAAGGAAGTTGTATTTATTTATTATCATAATTGTCAAAGTGTAGAGTGCTTCAAAACTAAACAGTAGGTCTAGAGAAGGGAAACTTGTTGCGTGATTGTCAAATGGAAGGATTGGGGGGGGGGCAAGATCGGAGGGAGTTGAAAGTCAAACCAGACGTGTCTCAGTTTCTTAGACATCCTCCTGAAATGTGTCCAAGAGCAAGTTGGCAATGAAGGTACAAAGATCATTAGATAAAGAGAGGATAAGAAGAGGGGACCGGGGAAGACTAGGGAGGTAAACCATTGTTTAGTCATGTGTTGAAGGAAATGTTTGAAAAAAATGGATCACAAATGTCTAGCTATCCAGTCCAAACGTTAGTAAGAAGAGAGCGCCGTGTAGCCACCTAGTAGGAGAGGTATCCCCCGTAGCCGCGGCCAAATCCTCCATAAAGACCTCCGACTCCGACACCTCCGTAACCTCCCAGACCGTAACCTCCAAATCCTTTCAGTCCACCAAAGAATCCACCTCCGTATCCACCTCCGTATCCACCTCCGTATCCACCGAGTCCACCGAGTCCACCGTACTTTCCACCGAAAAATCCACCATGTCCACCGAAGTAGCCGGGGGCGAAGCCTCCAACGAGACCGTAAGAAGCGCCACCTGGGTAATAGCCAAAGCCTTGGACAGAGACCAGGCCGAGAACAAGGAGGGCGGCTACCAGTTTCAGCATTGTCTGGAGATAGATTGAGAAACGTTCTAGAGATTAATGTAACTGTAACAGATAGATAGATAGATAGATAGATAGATAGATAGATAGATAGATAGATAGATAGAATAGTTTCAGCATTGTCTGGAACAAATGTATGTACACATAGGGAGAGAGAAGTCCAACAAATGAAAGAGACAATAATTACGATGGCGGAGATAAACCACACTTACATCACAGTGATTAAGTCCCCAAACATTTGGATTTAACCGTACGCCCTGGGTTCATTTTGTACCTCCGGGGTTGTACTCTCCACATACTTCTAGAATACTTCTAGAGCGAAGATCTCTTTGAAACTTTCAGTATTTCTCAAAAAAGCACTTTGACAGACTGCTATACAAAGCGTACGGATCGGAATAAATTTCCTCTGTGAAAAGTGGTGGCACAGAGATCCCCACGTCGTATAGATACGATAGTAAAACACGACGTACGGACAGGGTTAATTTAATCTGGAAAAGAATGCATTATAAACCCCAATTAGATCAGTTTTTCCTCAGCGTGCCTCTCCTTTCTTTAAACAGATATCTGGTAGTTTATCCCTATCCTTACGTCGTGTTTTACTATCATATCCATACGACGTGTGGAGCTCTGTGCCACCACTTTCCAAAGAGGAAATTTACTCGTTAATCCGATCCGTACCCTTTGCATAGCAGTCTGCCAAAATGTTTTTTTGAGAAATACTGAAAGTTTCAAAGAGACCTTCGTACTAGAAGTATTCTAAAAGGTGAAGAATGCAACCCCTGGGGTACAAAATGACTCCATGTCGTACGGATAAGGTTAAGGCCAACTGCTCGGGGCTTATAAGGATTATAAGTACTCATTGTATGATTTTTTGGAAGATCGAATTAAAACCATTGGATATAGAACGAAACACTGTTTTTCCAAAGCTTTGTGTGCCGTTTCTGAAAGCCTGTTCACTACTTTTAATGGCACACCTAGTTCGGTCTTTGGATTATAACCAAAGTTGTTTTAACCCATCTAAAGTGATAAAAACAACAACAACAACAACAACAACAACAACAACAACAACAACAGCAACAACGTCCCTTATTGGGCGCTGCTAAATTTTTTCAAGGGAGGCGGTGGCCCTGGCGAAGAGTACGCTCTTCGGGGCTCCAAATATTTCGAACGGATGGGCTACCACACAACAACAACAATAACAACAACAACCACAAAACCCCAAGCTATTCAAATATAACAATAGCATGGTACGCAGAATGGAGAGTCCGTTATCGATTTATTACAAATTAGCTTACTTGTTTTGCAGCTAAGAGTCTTAACAAAAAGATTGCCATAATGCCGGTATAGCTATCGACTTTGTAATTTTGACACAGGGCAAACTTACGTGGGTGGGTGGTTAGCAGGTACTCTGGTGTGGTTTGCTTCTTCTTTCCTATCAAACATCTATCGTACTTATCTCCCCTTTTTCTTTCTTATGTTTGTTACTCTCTTAAAACACTTCTAATCTTCTGGCGCTCTTATGACTTTAAGCAGTTGCGAGCGCAGTAAAACCTCTACTAAAACTAAAACTCACGGAGGGCTTGAAGCAGCAGACAGGAGGCTGGTGGTGGAGTCTGAGGGATGGATGGACACTTGTGATCCCACCTAAACCCTCTTCTGTATTTATACAAAATACTCCTCCCCCCCCCCCCCCCCCCCAACTCCCCACCTCCAACCCTTCAGAGCCATTCAGTGGTTACACCCCTTTTTTCAAAGGCTTTAGCTTGACAGAAAAAAACCCCAAACAAATACCGTCATGACGATGATTGATACTCGAAAAATTGGATATCTTCACGTTGAACAACAAAACCCCTTTTAGGCTTCCAGGCTTAGATTAGGAAGATAATCAGCCTAGCAGGTATATTCTAAGGCTGTTCGGGCAAGTTGGGTTCGAAAATGCTTAGGACAGGTAGAATCAAGGGGGCGGGGTCTCTCGTGGCCTAGAGGTTAAGGTGTTGGCCTCTCATTCAAAGGTCCCGGGTTCGAATCCGGGAAGCGACGGAAAACTTTTCTTCTCTAAAATTACCTCCTTTCACCTCCTTTCCTGCTCTCTAACCATGTTCTGTCTGCTTTTTTTGTAAGTGTTTCACGGCGATCGCAACTGCATACGATCATATGAGCATGCGGGACACAATAAACTTTTTCAGGTGGTAGGAAATTTTGAATTTTGCCCGGGTGGCGACCGAAGCATACTTTTATCGATTTTGGACCACCAAGGGATCTTAACGTGCGCAACTTGCACATGGGCCCTCAGAGATTTTTCGGCCTTGTCCGAGAAGGCTTAGTGTAGATCGTTCCCATCAGAACACCAGGGGTGTGGATAAAAGAGAGCAATAAGAAGGAGCTAAGGAATAGTAGTAGAAAGGCTGCAGAAAGAGTCAGGAGCCCAGAGGAAGGAGCATAAGGGGTGAGGGGATGGGGGTAGAAAGGGGAGACGAAAGCAGACGACAGAACATTTATAGAGAGCAGGAAATAAGACAATTTTAGAGAAGAAAATGTTTCGGTCGCTACCCGGATTCGAACTAGTGACCTTTGAATGAGAGGCCAACACTTTAACCTCTAGGCTACGAGAGCCTCCCTATCCTAGACCTGTAAGAACACGATATATCACAGGTAACCCAATTAGATGCTACCTGTGCAAAGCAGTTTCAAACCAAAATTGTCCGAAGAAAAATATTAAAATATACATGCAAGACTAATCATCTTTCTAATCTCACCCTGAAAGCTTAAAACAATTTTTAAAATATTCTATGTTTAATTAGGTGAAGGCAGCCAAAAAAACGACACATTTCAGCATGTCGTTAATCAATCATAGTCAGGCCGTTATTATTTTTTTTAATGACGCTGAAGCTTTCGAAAAAAAGGGCGCACCCACTTAACGGCTGTCAGGGATGGGAAGCAAATGTGTATAAATACAGAGGGGAACTTAGGTGGGATCACAAGTGTCCATCCATCCCTCAGTCTCCAGCACCAACCTCCTGTCTGCTGCTTCAAGTCCTCCGTAAGTTTGCCCTAAGTCAAAATGACGAAGTCGATAGCAGCTGTACCGGCATTATGGCAATCTTTTCTTTTTTTTTTTAGAATCTTAGCAGCAAAACGAGTAAGCTAATTCGTCATAAATCGATAACGAACTCTCCATTCTGTGTAACATGCTATTGTTATCATTGAATAGCTTGGGGTTTTGTTGTTGTTGCTGTTGTTGTTGTTGTTGTTGTTGTTACCACTTTTGGTGGGTTAAAACAATTTTGGTCATTATCCAAAGGCCGAACTAGGCACACAAAGTTTGCCCTGCGTCAAAATTACAAGGTCGATAGCTATACCGGTGACAATCTTTCTTAGAATCCTAGCAAAACGAGTGAGCTCATTTGTAAGGGATTGGGTAAAGGACTCTCTATTCTGCGTAATATACATTTGTTGAACTGCTTGGGTTTTATGTCACGCCATCTGCGGGTGAGATTTTTACCCAGTTTTACCATACTTTCTCCCCTCCATTTTTTAAACCTACACCCATTTCCTTCAAAGTTTCGAGCGCCCGCTTCAATCAATTATGTTTAGAAGTCATTTAAAAATGTGTTTTAAAAACTATGTTGCAGATTTGGGCCTTGTTTTTTTAATATTTTCAAATATTCATTTTTCCCACTTTAAATTACATCATCCATAGGTGACCTGTACTGCAATAGAGCCCTTTTTGGAAATAATAAAATAATAAAATCACAATCAATGCTTTTGTTGCGATTTTTTATATTTTAAAACTATTTATCCATGTACATATCTCCAGAGTCCATAATTATTTTCAAAATCGTAATATTACAAATCTGGCGTTAATTGTTTATTACATAGATGTTGTAGTTTGTACTTGCTAAAAATGAAAGCCAACGGACAAAAACTAAGAAGACGATAGCTTTTGAAATTCGATGAAATTATCCAATATGTCGGATGTTCGCTTGATTACCCTGTGCTTATAATAATAAATAATTACTTGAAGTTATTCTTTGATGTTTGGCTAATATAAATTTATGATCGTTCATATATATATATATATATAGTCAAGGGATGTGGATTTAAGAATTTTCACCAGCAGATGGTCTTAAAATTACTATTTAACAGACAAAGAATAGGATTGGCAGGTTGTTAAAAATTCAATGAATGTGCTTTTCGCCACAGCGAATAAAGATTTAGAAATACGGTGTTTTGTTCTGTATCTGATATTTCTAACTTGATCACCCAACGTAAAGTAACTGATGAGCCCCGGTTATCCTTATAAGCCGCCAGCAGTCGGTCTTGAACGACCAGAATTTATTATTCTTTTCAAGGAGAAACAGGCTGTGGGACACTCCCCGTCCAACTCAGGAATACTCGTACATTGAATTCTTTTCTCGACTGAATGCAAATGTTTGAGGATCGTGTACACGTACTTAAACATTAATATTATTATATATGGTCACTTTTAAGCACAAGGGGGCTATCATGAAAAACGCTGTTTTGAGAAAATGAAAGGTAAAGTTTTTGCCCCTTGTTTAGTTTCTTTCAAAGACAAGGGGGGTTTTCTCTATAACCAAACAAATATACACACCAATAAAACTTAACATATCCTATAGGTAGTGCAATGCCCACTTTTGGTGTTGGTCAAGATTTCTGGAAACCCTCCGAAATCTGGGTTAGCCCGCTTGTCCCTAAAAGCGACCACATTTGTTGCAATATTTGTGTCCTGTGGCATGAACACTTGATGTACTTTAAACCTTTGTAGACCACTAGATCACCAATAATTAGGTATTGTAAAGCGCGTTGAACATTGTAAATTATGGAAATGTGCAATATATGGACGTTGTCTATTATTATTCTTAGTGTGACATTCTCACAGACAGTCCTTATTAACCTTCGTGATTTATAATATGGCCACCTTTAAGCACAAGGGGGCTATCCCGAAAAACGCTGTTTTGAGAAAATCGAAGGTAAAGTTTTTGCCCCTTGTTCAGTTTCTTTTAAAGACAAGGAGAGTTTTCTCTATAACCAAACAAATATACACACCAATGAAACCAAACATATCCTATAGGTAGTGCAATGCCCACTTTTGGAGTTGGTCAAGATTTCTGAAGCCCCCCGTCCCCGAAATCTGGGTTCGACCACTTGTCCCTAAAAGCGACTACATTTGTTACAATATTTGTGTCCATGAATACTGCATGTACTTTATTCCATTGTAGACCACTAGTCCACTTGTTGTCTTAATCATCTGGTTGACTCGTCTCTCCCCATGTGTATGTTTATAATATTATACGTTTGTTCCAGACAATGCTGAAACTGGTAGCCGCCCTCCTTGTTCTCGGCCTGGTCTCTGTCCAAGGCTTTGGCTATTACCCAGGTGGCGCTTCTTACGGTCTCGTTGGAGGCTTCGCCCCCGGCTACTTCGGTGGACATGGTGGATTTTTCGGTGGAAAGTACGGTGGACTCGGTGGACTCGGTGGATACGGAGGTGGATTCTTTGGTGGACTGAAAGGATTTGGAGGTTACGGTCTGGGAGGTTACGGAGGTGTCGGAGTCGGAGGTCTTTATGGAGGATTTGGCCGCGGCTACGGGGGATACCTCTCCTACTAGGTGGGTACTTTGTTTTAGTAGAGGTTTTACAGCGCTCGCAACTGCATTAGGTTATATGAGCGTCAAGGGGTGGATGTCAACAGAGAAGTCCTTTCAAAGAATCAGACTTACTTTGCTCACCTGTCTAGCTTCAACAGCACAAAGTCTGCTTCGACTATCAAGGCACCCCGGAAATAGTGGGTCACAAGAGTGTGACAAACATACAAAAGAAGTAGGGGATAAATGACAATAGTAAGGATTAGGAAAGAAAATGAACGAGACAGACAGACAGACAGACAGACAGACAGACAGACAGACAACTGGAACAGATTGGCAATAACAAAATTCCTCATGTTTCTATGTTGTTTTCTATTTTGCAGGAGACAGGCTTTCATTTCAGAAGGGAAACAAGCAAGTAACTCCGCTGACTAGCCAAGAGTATTTCCGCTTGTTTCAGCTCTGAATAAAGCCAACAGAAAACGTTATAATTGTTGTGAATCACTTATTTTTAGCTGTTATATTGATAAATTGGGGGAATGTGTGTGTGTGTGTGTGTGTGTGTGTG